TCAGAGCTACATGAAGCCATTGGCTGTTAAAGTGAACTTATTTAAAACATGTGTATGCATCTGCCTTTTTATATCTGTCTGCTGATTGATATATAGACACACCCCAGACAAACAATCTCTGCCATACATTCTGTATTTCAAATAGGATTTATTCAGTCTTAATTCATAAAAATTTTCTGAATCCCTAGTATGAAACAAATACCATGTGAGTTCTTTTAAATGGAATGATTAACAACCACATAGGTAACTTAGAGTCTAGACTACAGGTTTCCGCCTTCTAAAATCATAATTCATAAAAGACATCATCTACATCATGACTATGCTCTGTCTCTGTCTCTCTATCTCTCCCTGTCTCTATCTCTGTCTGTCCAGCCACTTCCCCAACGTGTGTGTATGTGTGCATATGCATTTGGTCAGAAACAATGCCCCCTGTTCCCAGAAGACCTATATTTACCACAGTATATGCTCTCTGATATAGTCTGTTTTATTCAAATAGTGTAGAAATGACAGCAGTGTCCAACCCACTGATCCCATGATCATTTAAGAAGCCATGAGATTCAGTTTGGAAGATGAGCCTCTAGGCTGATTCAGGTCTATAACTGGGCCTGCTGTGGTCCACAAATGTTCAAACCTCTAGAGTGAGAGGTTGGACTTCAAGACAAGTCTCATTATTGGACATATGCTAAAAGCTACTTTATATTTGTTCATAAATTGCAGAGGGCAATTGCTAAATGCAGAAGCCTGCTTTGAGGCAGAGTGCCCTCAGTGTAGACGTAACGAAAGGCCAAGTACACAAGGGAAAACTTCCCAGGGATAAAAGCAAATCTATCTTATTAATTCCTGGTTACTCTCCCTTTCCTATGCATTTACTTACCAATTTCTTCCTGTATAACTACCCCTAAATATCTCATTACATGAAATTATGTTTCCTGTCTGCCCTTCTCACTGACTTGGACTCCTTTTTCACTTCTGAGTCTTTGGAGTCAAGTAAATTTCTGGTGTGAAGTTGCCATTGAATGCAAGCCCAAGGAATTACTGAATGAATGTGTAACTAAGCAACCACATGCTTTGAAATTTGTTCTCCAGTCCTAGGTCCAAAAGGACAAACAAAAGTAAAAACGAGGTTATTATTTTCTTTTAATGACGCTGAGACATTAATAGGTTTTCTTCTTATTTTGGAAATAAGATCTTTAAGAAAACCTTAGGCGATTCTAAGTGGGAAAGCATTCAGAGTTTTGGTAAATCACATGTATGAGTCTAGAGGAAATACTGATGGCTGGAAACGAAGTGTTTGCTTTTCCTTATTTGTCAGCTCCCCACATCACCACTGTGGGTTTAGGGACTGCATTTTTTAACTCCACATATCTGCATCTACATCTAGAAAAGAGAAAGTTTTCTTCTTTCTGAATTTGGGAAATGTCAAAAGCAGTCTAGACCCACACCTAAACCACAAACTCCTAGTCTCAATAGCGTCTCCCCTAGTCACCAATTTACACACTGTTTTAAAAGATTTTTTTCCCTTGCCATCATTCACGTTAATTGTGAGACCATGATTTCCTGGTCTGAAATGTGAGTCTCTGATTCCCTTATAACCACACACAGATATAGAACATTGATGCCTATGGGCTGCCTGACCATTTAAACCTGGAAATTACTATGACGGGAATTTTTCAGAAAACAGGAAGCTGGGTCTGCACTGAAGAGATGGAGAAAAAAGAAGGATTTGATCGCTCTAAGAAACTAAATGAGATTTGCTATTCAGAAACAATCTGGGACTCTGGCAATTAGAGATGAGGGGAGAGCCAGACTGAAAAACGGAGATGTCTCCACATGGTTCGGGGGGATCCATTAGTACAGGGGGAGCCAGAAGGTTCATTAGAGAAAAGACATCAGATCATGAAGGGGAATGTCTTTCTCATGCAACATTTCCTACTGTTTCTCTGAGGGGCAAATTCCAGAGCATTAATATGTTTATACACATATATATCACACACACAGACACACACACAGAGACACACACACATACACACACATATGCACACACATAGACAAAGAGACAGAGAAATAGAGACAGACAGACAGACAGACAGACAGACACAGACACACACACACACAGAGAGAGAGAGAGAGAGAGAGAGAGAGAGAGAGAGAGCGCCATTCTACTGTTTTTGGTAAGTCTGGATGCTACAATTGTTGGGTCCAATGTACATTTTCAGAGGCATTCATACATTGCTAAGCGTTCACTGGGCAAATAACTAACAAAGGACCGCAGAACTGAAGAAAGCATGTTTTCCACATGTGCTGCTGCTCTGGTTTTGCCACAGCTTTAGTAATGGAGCCGAGTTTGGGGATAGGCTGAGTGAGAGACGACACAAACCAGGTAAATCATCTGAAGAAAGAGTCACAGACTTAACCTAAGTCTAGTCTTAAAACTAGGCAAGGAAATAATCCTCAGTGGCCTGTAGTAAGAGCCTTGTACCCCATCTTTTAAGATCACTTACTAGGATGAATGTGAGGTCTGACCTGTCAGCCTAGCTGGAAGTCAGTGGTACCAACGTTTATACATGTTCATAAACACAATTAGCATTGTGATTTCAAGGCTCACAATGAAACAGTGATGAACGAGAGGCCTGGGAGAGCTGTAAAGTCATAGAGTCTGGTATGTATTGCAGTTTTATTCAGAAGTCACAATATGCCCATGGAGAATTGCAGAACCAATGATATGGTAGTGCCGGCCATCATTTTAGGGTTTTCTTTGATTCAGTATCTTTCCTATGTGAAATCCAAAAGGAGAGCTTTCTATAAATTTTCTTTTTCCCACCATAACATTAGAATCGTTACTATTAAATAAGAACCAAATGTTGTAAAACTTCAGAATGGTTATGACGCCAGCATTTTCTTAAAAGAAAGAACAAGATGGCCACCATTGTGACCCAAGTGGTTTGTAGTTAGGAAGCTGAGCTGGGAGATGCCATGGGCTACAAGTTCTGAACTGTTGTCAACTCGAAGGGCCGCAAGTACCAGTCAGATGGATTTTCATATCTTTTACCCCAAACATCATCTTCTCTTTTTAATTTTGTACCCAAAGTTTATTTTAGGCCCTTTAAGCTCTGTTAAAACAAAACACATCCAACTGATTTTAAACAGCTTTGAGGACTGTTTAGGCAATCTGGAATTCATAGGAGTTTCTGCTATGGTCCCTCCTATATTACATAAAATGGTCATTTCTCCCATTGCAGTAGAAGAAAAGAATGTTATTATTGAGAAGTTGGAATTTTGGGTTTTAAGCATGATCCAACACAAACGGTTGTGGTTTGGAGAAACTTAACTTCTTCTAAACTCGACATCCTGAACTGGAATTAATTGCTCATTAGAGGCAGAAAGGGTTCTTTTTTCACTTGAATGTAAGTGTAGCATAGAGAGCTTTCTTTCTTTTTTTAAACATATTATGGAAAAATAATGTGGTTCTGAACTTTCATTTTTCTGCCTTTTTTTTTTTTTGGTATTTAGGTTTGGGTTAGAGCCAGAGATGGCTAACTTATTTGATTACAACATAAAAAAAGTGATTTCATTTAGACTTTTAAAGGGAACTGAGAAAACAATACCAAACTTGGGTTTTGGTTCAGTCCTATTGGGCTCACAGCAAATGAAGAGTGATGGGGAGTCGTTCAGCAGAGGAAGAGAAGCGGTTTTGACAGTGTTTAAATATGGATACTCAAGACAGGGGAAACATGAACTCCCTTTCTCCCTCTCTTTCTCTCTCCACACACATAAAAAAATATTTACAGAGCTGCCAGGGTTTGGGGCTCCCCTTTTCTCCTCTTTGCTCTGGGAGTGAGCCCCCATTGGAAAGCCAGCTCTGTTAATCATTGTGCAATAATGGTGCACTCTTAGAAGTTTGGTTTTCTCGTTTGTAAAATAGGGTTAAGGATGTCTACGTCACAGCATCTTTGTGTCATACAAGACAGAGTTGAGGTGGCATGAGTAAATGATGTCATTGTTATCAATAATCTGGTATTGTGTAACTTACTAAGCAAGTCAGAAACATGTACTTCCTTTGTATTTCGCCTTCACCCTTAGTGGAGCTTGCAGTTGGTATTTCTTTACTCTCGGTTTTTAGCAGAGCTGAAAGCAAAAGCTACTTGAAGTTAACTTTCTGCTAGGTCTTTGATTTTTCCCCTAAGCTCATTAAAGAGATTAGGGGTGCCCCAGGGTCAAAGATGAAAGGAGTGGGCCTTAGAAAGAAAAGTGTATGTGTGGGAGCGAGGGAAATAGATATTGACCTTTGGAGCAATGGAATTTGCCAAAAAAGTGCCTGATGGCCAAGCTGACAGTCACCTCCCGAAGTCACCATGGGTCTCTCAATGGTAGCACAATGAGTGGGACTTGGAAGGCCTCCCACGATGCAGGGTGTATTGTACAATGACCCAGAACTCTAGAATGAGCAGAGCTGAAGGAGAATAGATAAGCTGTCTAGCAGTGGAATGGTTTCTAAGCACCTTGGCATGTAAGCTATTGAAGACACTTATCTAACACTTCCTCCATGCTAGACACCATTCCGAGTGCTTTTCATGCAATCACATACTTGTTACCATACTTATTTGAAACAGTACCATTAGCAGATTATTAAAGGAGACAGAGAAGCAGAAAAGGACCCACATTTTCCCAGTTAGTAATTGGTACAACCTTGAGGCAAACTTGGGCAATCACTTATGATCCTCATCTAACAAAACGTAATGAAATGCTCTGCTTGCCTGCTACAGTTCAAATGAACAGTGCTCCAGCTACCTTCACCATTTCTGCATTAGAAAGGCATGATGAGTGGACAGAGTGGCTCAGGGTATCTGCCTTCCAGGCCAGATGGGCCTCCCAGGCTGATGAGTCATGGCCAGCTTTACATAAATGACTGGTGCCATGGGCCCCAGAAGGCAGCTTTAGAAACAAAAGGCTTCCTTTTGAGGGTGGGAGGACCAGTTTGCTGAAGAAATCAGTTCCATTTTCAGAATCAGATCACTGGTCACAGGAAGCCAGTCAGACAGGGCCCCATGACAAAACTGAGGACCCACATAAAAAGAGAAGAGCTGGAGGACACACAGGCTGGTGGTGGGGGTGACGACACACAGATCCAGAAGTTCAATTGTGGGAATTGTCTGCACCGGTCTCCTGTGCTCAGACTTGATGGGTCGGAACAGACTTCTGGGAGCAAACACTGAGAAAATGGTAACTTCTGGGCATGGGGGAGAGGTCGGGGCAGAGGTAGACTTGAGCACCGGACTTTGGGAGGAAGAGTGGGCTTCTGTGGAGAGCCATGATGGGGAAGTCAGGGGCAACTCAAGGTCAGGGACTTATGGGAGACATTTATGGGTAGGGCCTGGAGAATATGGCAAACATGTATTTGTCCAGGAAAGAGAGAAGGAAATACCCTTCTCTTCTTCTAGCTCTGGGGCTCCCTGCCACCGTTCCAGCCAATGACACTATAATCAGCCCAATGTTACTGGATTTTAGTGGGGACTTTGGACACTGGTTTGGGATCCCCACAACCAATCTTTCTTTCTTTCTTTCTTTTTTTTCCCAACGGGAAGATCTATTGCTAGTTCTAAATTGCCAACTTCTAAATGGGTCTCTGCAACACAGTTTATTTCTGTGTTGGGGATTGCCTGTAAATATGTTGCCTCCTTTCAAGATGATGGATGCGCTGGTTTAAAAGCTGGAGATTCACTCACATGTTATATACCCCAGCTTTCCCTCCATATAGCTGGTATGGCAGTGTGTTCCTGTAAAAGCAACATCGAAACATAAAGGGCGAAAGCCACCACCACCAACCACAAAAGTCCTCAGTTGCTTTTATCTCCTTTCTTCCGAGTTTCATCTCTTCCTGGAACCCAGGTGAGCAAATTCCAGCCATTAAACTGGCATTTCATGCTTTGCCAATGTCTAGTTCAGTCAAGCTTAGTTCACTTAACTCACAGACACAGTAGGTTTTCTCTTTCTCTCTCTCTCTCTCTCTCTCTCTCTCTCTCTCTCTCTCGTTTTCTTTTTGACATCATTTACATTTTTTGGTTCAGCTGTTTCGGGCTCTGAGGGAAGTCGCGATCTGTGGATGGAGTCAACCATGGGGAGGGAACTCTGCATGGAGTTCAGAGAGCTAATCTACCAAGCTGAATACTATAGGGAAAGAACTTGAATCTTGACTGCCCCATACAGACCAATATGTTAGAGCCTTGGTCCCCAGGGTGATTCTATGGGAAAGTCTAACCTTTGAGAGGTGGGGCCTAATGGGAGCTTCTTTAGTTACTGTGGGCATGCCTCTGGAACATACTGTGGTAGCTCAGGCCTTGATTCTTCTCTTTAGTTTCCTGGACGTGTGATAAGCAGGTTTTCTGTCTTACTCATCATCTAATGTGATGTGATAGCTCACCACAGGCTTAAAACGATGGGCCAAATTGATTGTGGCTGTGGCGGTAATTCAGTGCTGTGAGCACAGGCATCCCTTTTACTTTTGGAAGTTAGTTATCTCGGGTACTTTGTTATGGTGACCAAAAGCTGGTGCTGCAGCCAAACTACAGCCATCTCTGCAACATACTGTCAATGACTCTAATTTTTTACTTCATACCATGGCTTCCAGATTTTAATAAAAGATTATGTGCATCTCAAAAATGCATGTTATTGTCTTGGTTAGGGTTTCTATTGCTGTGATGAAACACCATGACCAAAATCAACCTGGGGAGTAAAGGATTGATTTCAACGTGTATGTCCATGTAACAGTTAGTCACTGAGGGAAGGCAGGGCTGGAACCCAAGGCAGGAAGCTGAAGGCAGGAACTGAAGCAGAGGCCATGAGGGAGCTCTGTTTACAGGCTCTTAATGGTTGTAGCACCTAGGACCAACAGCCTAGGGAGGGGGACTACACACAAAGTGAGCTGGGCCCTCAAACATCAATCATTAATCAAGAAAATCCCCCCTACAGACTTTCCTACAAGCCAATCTGGTAGAGATATTTTCTCAGTTAAAGTTCTTCCTTCCAAAATAACTCTAACTCAAGTCAAGGTGACATCAAAGTAGCCAGTGCAGTTATAAAAATGTATGAGCAACCCTGTCTAAAGAGAGCCAGCATCCTTAGTAATTTCAAAGAATCCTATTGCTTTTATAACTCTTAGATTTAAGGTTAACCAAAATGCTACTTTCCACAGGTAATTATAAAGCCAGAAGTTTGGTAATTTCAGATGAATAACTCAGAAAAAAAAACATTTATATGCTTGGATAGTTCAAAGGTAGTAGACCAGAAGACAAAAGAAAGCATCTTTTTCTTTTCTTTTGGTTTTTGAGATAGGGTTTCTCTGTGTAGTTTTGCGCCTTTCCTGGAACTCACTCTGTAGTCCAGGCTGGCCTTGAACTCACAGAGATCCGCCTGCCTCTGCCTCCTGAGTGCTGGGATTAAAGGCGTGCGCCACCACCGCCCGGCCACATCTTTTTCTTTTTATGTAGCAAAGAATGACAAATTTGGGATTGTTAATGGCATCCATTCTTTCTAACAACAAACAGGAAAAATACAGAATAAACACATGAGATCTTTAAAAATGTAAGATGACAACATTTATATAATTTGAATTCAAAGTTGGTTTTGATAACCCCTGATTGCTGGTAACACCCATTCCCTCCTGTTAATGGCACACCAATTTCTCTTGGGGTATTGGACCATTGGCAGTAGGAGCTCACACTCTTATCTATCTCCTTATATTTAGAAAACAATCTTCAGATTGTTTTTGTATTTGTTTGCTGTCTCAGTTACTTTTCTACTGCTATGATGAAACACAGTAACTATAGGCATCCTGGGGAGGAAATGGTTTATTCATCTTACACATCCAAGTAAACAGTCCATCACTGAGGAAAGTTGGGGCAGAAACTCAAGCAGGGATGAAGCCTGGAGGTAAGAACTGGTACAGAGGCCATGGAGGAGTGATGTTTCCTGGTTTGGTCTCCATGGCTTATTCAGCCTCCGTGTTATTGCACCCAGGACCACTAGCCCAAAGCTAGCATCATTCATGGTGAACTAAGCCCTCACATGAATTATCATGTAGGAAGAAAATTCACCAATTTTCTTGATAGACTCTGATAGCCAATCTGGTAGGGGAATCTTCTCAGTTGAGAGTCTCTCTTGCCAAATGACTCTAGCCCTTGTAAAGGTGACAAAACTAGTTAGCATATTTGTCTATGGCCTTTCCACATTCACTCTCTGTCTTAAGATGCCTAGGATGACCTCAGCATCATGCTCTTCATTCCTTTTGAGCACAAATGTTTATCTTTTACTTTGCAGGTCGGCTACTAAGCACATTCCTTCATCTTGGCAACTAGACTACCACCCTAACAGGATGAGAAAACTTCTCAAGTGTTTTCCTTTATGAACCTAACCATCCTCTTTGTTTGCAACCATAGAGTACCTGAGACAACTCCCTTACTAGAAAGTTGTAGTACCAAGTTTTTATGTCAAGTGGAAACTAGCATGTCATGTTAGGCTTAGGTATGTCAACTACAATTTCTTCCATATACACACACACTTGTTCCCTTTTCCTATTGAAGAGTCTATAAACTCTTATGAGTAAACAGTCTTCTAATTTAGCCAAGGATTTCAAAAGGGGAAGAGAGGCATAATAACACACTATGCAGCTCATGAAGAAGGTGATAATAAAGGTATGGACAGTTGTAGAAAACTTGAGAGCCATCCCATTTCCGAAATTACTTACAGGATATTCATGCTGCTATTAAATAAGCAGATAATCTTTATCTGCTAATAAAAGAGGCAGCCTGTTGCCAGAGGACTGTGACAGTCTTAACAAGTTTTACAGAAAATAAAAATACCAGCAGATAGCAGGTATCATGTTTTCTTTTGGCAAATGTTAACACTTCCCAGCTAGCATGCCTTGCTTACTTAATTGGTCCTATAAAAACCCACCAGGCCATTTCACTCGGAGCCATTGAAATTCTCTAGACCAATTCTTTATAGCTTTTCAGAGCCTAGATGGAAAACAGCTACAAAAGAGGCTGATGGAAAGGCTTTTTCAGCTCTCAGGCCTGTATTTACAAACCTTACAATCTTTGTGTGTTTACTTGTTTTAAAATAGATGAAGTGAATAAATCAGGCAGGTTATTATTACCATTATTAGTTTGGTTTGGAGAAGAAAAAATAAATCACTGACATGAGAGAATAATAATAATAATAATAATAATAATAATAATAATAATAAAGTATGTTGGCTTAAGCAAGTCCCAGATTGCCTAAAATAGTTTCCACATCACCTTGTCTGCGACTGACTGCAGACCTAACACATTCACTTGCCCTGAGTCCATGTAGGAGCTGGTTACAGCATTTACTATATATGCATGTCCTATGGAGTGTTGGCTTAGATACATACATTCCTTAGCCAGATTGTGAGTTTACTCCATAAAGTATACATAATGCCATATTCTTGTTGCCAATGACTGGCCTCCACTGAGGCTGAGCAAATGGATATTTATTGAAACTGAGATTGAGGAAATAAATATTTATTAAAATCGAACAGGATATGGAGAAAATGCAAAAGAAATTCAAAGAAAAGAAATTGTGAGAGATGCCTTAGGCTCAAGCCACTGAGTGTGTGGTAGTATGGAAGAAAAAAATGTCAGTCCCATTGAAAAAATATTTAAAATATTCATTTAATAATCTCTTCAGCAAACATTTTGGGTTTAAAGACTTTTGTGAGTATACTTTATTTCTCTCTGGGCTATTTTTAATTTAGTTTGAGAGTATAGCTGGACATCTGCATCTATAGAGTCAACCAAACACTGAAAAAATGTTTGTTTTCATGAGCCTGGATAGCTGTGATAATAGCTCTGTTAGTAATGTACTCTCCTTGGTAGCATGAGAATCCAGGTTCTATTTCTAGAACCTTCATTAAAAGAAAAAAAGCCAGGTATGGTGGAACATGCTTTTAATCTCAGTGCTGGGAGGTGGGGACTGTTGAAATCTTTAGGGTTCATTCGTCAGCCATCTTAGCCTAAGTGATCCAAGGCCAGTGAGAGACCCTACTCCCAAAACAAAACAAAACAGAAAAGGTGGACAGAACCTGAAGAATGACACCTGACATTCATGTCTGGACTCCACATGTATGTACATGCATGTGCTGCAGGATATTTTATCACACTGTGTTTAAGGCACCTTCTGACTGGTTTAATAAAGAGCTAAAAGGCCAATAGCTAGGCAAGAAAGGATAGGCAGGACTTCTGGGCAGAGATAGGAACTCTGGGAAGAATCTGAGAGGCATAGATTTTGCCAGCAAGACACGGAGGAAGTTGGACATACAGTATGGAGGAGAGGCAATGGGCCACGTGGCAGAATGTAGATTAACAGAAATGTGTTAATTTAAGTTATAAGAGCTTGTTGGGAAGAAGTCTAAGCTAAGGCCAAACTTTCATAATTAGTAAGAAGTCTCCATGTCATTATTTGGGAGCTGGGTCCAAAGAAAGTATGACTACAATTGGTGGTCAACGCACAGCATGTATATCCAAACACAGGTCCTGAGGAAGCTGAGAAAAGTTCTGGACACAGAGCTATGTATGGCTTCTTAGTACTGCAGTCTCTCAAAAAGGCCTGGTACTAAAGGCATACAGAGAAGCAGCTCTTTTAAGAGGCCCTGCTGTGCAGCTGAACACTTAAAACAGCTGGTGTGCTACTCAGCACTAGGTAGAAATGTCTGTTGCAGCATGGGTACAACAAGTTCCCAGAGCTGGAGCAGACAGGTATGGCTCCCAGCTGGTGCCTGTGAGCATGAGGCTTAGCTCTTACAGAAAGGCAAACAGCGATTGCAGCCCAGAACCAGTGGGGGTAGCTTGCTGAACTGACCCAAGGGGTGG